ATTTTTTTTTTTTTTTTTTTTTTTTTTTTTTAACCCTCCCAAATACAATTTTAATTTGCGGTGAAACGGTGGCGCTGACAACCTGCGCGGAAGAGCCGGGCTGCCGCAGCCTGCGGAGCATGAAGGCTCCCGGGCGCCTACATGGCCACGGAAAAAACCACCCGACGCGGAATATTTGTTGGCAAAACATTCGCAGAACCCGAGCGTGGGGATGAGGGTCAGGAGGAGCAATTATTTCAGAAATTCCACGGGAGGAGAGGCAAGGGGAAGGAGCCCTGGGTTTGCATGCAAGGGAGCCGGCAAGTCCGGCTCGAGAGACACAAAACGCTCCCGCACGCCCGAGGAGCTGAGCCCAGCGGCTCCGTGCCCAGCTCCCCTGCTTACTATCGCATCTGTTTTCATTTTTTTGTTTTAAATTATTATTTTTATTTTTTTTATTCTCTACGCAAAATACCTTCCCTGCCTTTCAGTTTCCCCCCCTGCTCGCTGCAGATTCGAACACCTCTCCGGGGAGGACGGCCGCAGCACGGAGCCGGCTGGGCCATTTTTGCGTCTCTTAGCAGCTCTCAAAAATCCTCCCATGAATCGAAAATGACAATTATTACTCAGCATCATTTTTACTCATTTCCCGCCTTCTCGGGAAGCCAGGCTGAGGTTACTCGTTCCCACCGTGCCCCGGCCCCAGCCACTGTTCCCTGGTTGTGTGGGGCTGGATCCCAGCTCCCGGGCGGGTTTGGGAGCACCCACGGCTCCGCAGGATGCTCCAGAGGGATATTCCGCCCGGGAGGGGAGGCGGTGGGGTGCAGCGAGCATCACAGCACCCCAAAGGCCTTGGCTTTCATTTTGTACAGTGCAATCTGAGCAGAAAAGGTTGGGTTTGGGGTTGGGTTTTTTTTTTCTGTTTGGTTTTTTTTTTTTTTTTTTTTTTTTTTTAAGAGCGAAGCACAGAGGGAAGCTGGTCCTTCTCCCCTCCCCTCATCTTGCACATGGAGATGGTAATTTTTTTGGGGGGTGGAGGTAAGGACCTGTTCTTCCCAGCTGACAGTGCTGGGGAATGATCCCGGGCACCTTAATACTAAAAATAGCCAATTCTGCACCATTTCAAGTCATGTTTTCAAAACGAGAGCCTCACTGCTCCTAGTTTTACAGGGCTCCCGCAGCTCGGCGCACGGACAGGCTGCCCGCGGAGGCAGACCCGGCGCCTGGACAGACGCACGTGTCCACACATCGGATTTACACAAACATTTATACACACGCGGAGCTCTGCTCCCACAAACTGGTCTGTGGCCAATCCAGATTTCTGCCAGAATAAACGAAACCAGCACCGGGTTTTTCAGCAATTAAGCCAAACAAGGGGAAACAAGTGCGACACCCAGAATAAAAATTCAATAGAAACGATTTTTCACGCTCAATAGGTCTGAAAGAGCCCCTTGCCGGGAAAGCACGGCCGTACACGGGGAACTAAGCACACGCCTCACACGGCGAGAAAACCCCACCGTGTCGCCTTCACGCCAGCCCCAGGGAGCCCCGATAGGGTTATTGCTCTGCAAAGATTACCAAGCCTCATCCCACAAGAATATATAAAATAAAAAACAAAACAAAAAAAAACCCAAACAAAACAGCCCTTGAGTTACGCTCCTGGCTCCGAAGCCTGTTAGAGGCAGCGGAGGGGTTTCCACTGCTGCAATGAGTATTTGCCAGGACTCTGCCGGAGGAAGGAGACCCAAGCGCTTTCTGAGACTGTAAACTCCTGTTAATTGAGAGCTTGGGACTGCAGAGGAGGAAAGTTAATAATGAATTCAAGAGTCAAGCTGAGATTGGGTTGCATTCAGTTTGGAAATTTGTGTAAGGAGGATGCAAAAAGAAAAAAAAAAAAAAAAAAAAAAAAAACAACCCAAAAAAACCCAACCACCAGAAAGAAAAGAGCCTAAGAGAATAATTGATTACAGAAATGAAAGCTTAATTCATAAAAGAAAAACATTTTCCATCCATCAACCTGCAACCAGTTAAGTGGAGAGTTTTAAAGAAACTGCAACATGGAGAAGGAGCCAACAGGAAAAAGGAAATGTATGAAAGAATGTAAACTATTCAAGTTTCATAAAGAGGAACAAGTAAACAGTTATTACATGCAAATAATTCCTAACATCACTGCTTTTAATTAATGCAGAGAAGTCAAAATATATCTGACATTGTGTGCGTACGTTCGAGCCTTTGAGAAAATGCTGCCATATGGCCATTAAAATATCGTATTTTTGTTTCAGCTTCGACCTGCCGTGTTTACTGGCGATGAAATGCTGAAATTCTATTTCTACGCTTGGAAATGCGGATACCTGGGGGCTGCGGGGG